AACTTGTAACAGTATACATCTATTTATAATTAAATTTTATAGTTTTATTGCCATTTTGATTGCCCTTTGAACTGTGTCTAACTACTATTTGTGCAATTATAAGATGTAAATCACTTGGGGAATGTGCAGCTCACAGTACACTATTGAATTACATTATCCACAAGCTTAACTAACCTAAAGAGATTCCTTTTTTTTTGCATTTTAATTACTTTTATAATAAGAAATAAAGAATGAACATGACAAATGAGAAATAAAGTACTTACACAATCTTCTTTTTCTTGCTGTCGATTGTCAATGATACTTAATCCTATTTTTTTTATACTAATGATAGTAATGCACTAAATAATCTTTATTTAATTAAATAATGCACCAAAGAACTTAGAATAATAACATGCAAAAAGTAGACAATTTCCCCTATATCTCACAATTTTTCTGGCTTTCTAACTATGCAACAAGAGCCATTACAAATTCATCCATGCTAGTCATTAAATTTCCTACAGAAATGAACCATGTATTATAAGTGAAACTAACATTTATCTGTTCAGAACACAATGTTATACAATACGTCATTTGATAGACAAAAACTTTTGGATTCTATTGGTTATAGGTAATATATAATTAAACATAAGAAAGAACTCTTAACAAATCCTGAAAGAGAAAATGTGACAGGTGGGTGTGGCAGGAGGGGTCTGATTTTCTATATGCTAGTTCTGTAACCAAACAAACATGAAGACTATAAAAATTATGATTAGTCTGAGCAATGAAGATTTCATAGTAAGTAATTTACATTGAATTTCGTAACTTTTTGGAGGGGCAATGGATAAAATAGAAAGGAAAAAATACCTAGAGAAAATGTGTCACACTAGGGTAAATTCAGTATTATTTTAAATATTGCATTATAGAATTAAGAACTTAAAACTTACGTACTATTAAAATATGGATTATTAGCTAAGATTTTATGCTATATTGATTGGTATAACATAAACAAAAAGTAGATTAATAAACATTTGAAGGTAATACACAAAAACCTTGTGTCATGTGCAGTAAAGAATATTCACGTAAATAGAGTTAAAAGAAATATGACCTGTGGAAAAACTAGATGAAATTCATCTATATTAGTGACTAATATTGTTACAGCAATATTATTCTATTTTACTGTTGGAAAACACTAGTAAAAATATGTTCTTCCAATGGAATGTATATTTTTCAAAGTATTTCTGAACTGTCACAAATAGATGCTGAAATGGATAGCTTCGTAAGGGTAAGTATTTTGATTCAAGTACAATTACAATATTTAAAATACATGTCACTTTCAAATAATGAGGCCGAATACATTAAAATAAAACGTTTTTGAAGCCTCTTAATGTCATTACTATCAAAAATCATTTTAGTATAACATCAACCCTCCAAACAAAGATATATTTTTAACATTTTTATTAAACTTTTGTACATATGAGCCTTCATTTGGTAAATGGACTATTATGTTCCACATAGTTTAATATACTATCTATGGGATGAATGAATCAATAATGAACTTTAAGACTATTAGCATTAAAGTGCTTGAGAAGAATTTTTCAAATGCCAGAACTTGTACCATTTTCTAGAATTTCCAAAACAAAAGGAAAAACATTATAAGAGATTAGTCTTGTGACACCCATCAAGTTCCGTGAATCAACAAAAAATAATTACTTTTTAATCACTAAAAATGACTTATGAAACATGTGAGTACGCAACATTCATGGTGAAAAGAGAGCTTCTGATAAAAAGTAGGATATTTTGATCTTATACTTTTCAGAGTTAATATATTTTCTTCAAAATTACACAATCCAAAATTAAATTACAAAAGTAGAATAAAATTCTGAAAGAGGAGGATTCAAAAATTACTTTACATAAGAAATGTTAACCTCTGTAAAATGTACAGCTTTTGCTAAGAAGGATACACAAATACAAATATAATTTTTCAGTAAATATATTAACAATAAAAAATTGTTTGCTATACTGAACATTTGTCTAATTTGTACTTATCTACACAAGCAATTTATTCTCACCTCTAAATCCACTGCAATTTCTTTTTGTTGTTTGAGTTCTCTGCAAAGTTCCTCCAGAGCCAAAATTTTGTCAACATATACAAACAGAGTTTCTTTAATAGCTTTAGGTACCTAACAAGAATATTTAGATAATGCAAGATCAGCACACAGATGAAGGTAGTAAATGATTTTATTATCCAGGAAAGGCAAAGTAAATAACATCTATACATGAAATGACAATGGAATTTCATAAGAAAAAAAATGCCAAACAAGGAAAAAATATTGTTTTTTTTGGTTAGAATTACACTGATTACAATATGTTTGTACTGAAGATTCTGACTGAGCATAAAAGTACTAATGAAGACAAAGACGATAATCAGGATAAAAATAATTTTATTTATGAGACAGATTTTTGGAAAACACTTATTTTATTCCATGACTGAAATTTGAAAACATAGAATTTACAAATCAATAAGAAATGAGCAATAGAATAATATCAATAAATTCTCCATCATCAAAACTGAATCTACAAAACTATGAATATCTCTTTAGCTTTCTAATCATGAAAGACCAATCTGATTTAAATAATATACAAATATCCTTTAAACTAAAATTTTTCTAATTAGTATACTATGACAAATAATAATCTATACTTATGTATCTTAAATTCTTAAAATGAATATTTTACTTCCAGTATGTGTCATTGTACACATAATCATGTTTTACCATAGTTTATTTCATAATAACATTAATGTTTTATCTAGGTGCTCTAATTTGCTTCATGGCTTATTCATGGATATTATACTATTCATTTCTTCTCAATGCTTTTAAACCTCATGTTCTTAAATATGATTTAGATTTTTATTTGTTTGTACTAAGATATTTTGATACACCTTGTTTTCATACTTTCCTGATGATGAAGAAAGTGTATTTAAAAAATGTTTGAGTCTAAGTAAAATGTTTCATCCTAGTTATCTTTGTCTTCATTACTAAACTTTGTTTTTTACTTACTAATCTATTATCAATGAACCTGAACTATCTACAACAAATGTTATCATTGTGAAGATGCTTTGTTCTATGCCACCGCTGACAAGAAGTTTCATTCACAACTAAATCCCATCTTGCTGTATTACAAAATAATAAGACTAAGTTGAAGTGCAATTTCAAATAGCAATGATTCATTTCTCAATAAATATATTATCTCAAAGCTGATCAAGCACTAACTTTTCATGCTGCACATTATAATGAAAATAGTTTGTGGCTCAGGTGAACTAGGGGTTCTGATAATTAGCAAAACATCTTTGTTGGTGTATTTAGTTCCACAAATTTAATTCAGAGCATATTATTATAAGAATAATTGATAATACAATGTTTAGTTCCTAAATTGTAATGCTAAATCATATTTCATATCTTAAGATAGTAAATTAACAATCCATTTTATATCCCAAACATTGGTATAAAATATATACAAAATTAAAACAAAACTTTTTTAATGGCTCCAAAACTCATCAAATCTTATCTTAAACAAATAATAAATGTATTAACCATTTCCAGTTTGTTCCTGAAGAAGAAGGGTCCACCTTTCAAAAAGCACTTGGGTTATGGGATTTTTATTAATTTCTATCAAAACTTCTTGAACCAACGTGTTTTTCTAACATCGTGAATGTATTAACCATTATAAGACTTATTTTATTGAAATGTAAAAAAACAAAATGTGTAATCAATATATTATATTTACAATTACCTTCTAAACTGTGTGGTTTCAATTTACGAATTGACCATCTAAACTGACTATTTGATCAAATAATGGTAAATACGCTAAATCATTACTTCAAATGAACATTTTATGCAATATTAAAATAATGTCGTGCATCACCACTTACATAAAGATTGAGTTTCAATAAAGTCTCAAAATGACCTGTCATGTTTAAATAACAATTTGCATAAGTATTTTAACATATAAGGTAGTATTTTTATGCTCTATTTAACCTTACAGTGTAATAATTTTCAACTCCATGGCTACTAATTTGTACAAATCAAAAACAATAAGCACAGTATATTTTCTGTGTTGTTTACTTCTGACACATATATAATTATAAATCTCAACAATAATAATATATATAAAAATATTATGAGATTTATTAGCCTCACAAAGTGAATCATGGATGCACAAGCATTATATTTAATTACAACATCAGGAGGTGTTGTACCTATCCATTACATGATATACATATGAAACAGAAATTTAAATTTATGTAATCTACCCTGCAGTGATGTTGTTTAGTCAACTGCATCATGTGCAAGTGCTCTTCAATAAATTCCTGATCAGCTGTATTAAGTACAAGCAGCTTTTTTAGTGTTGAAATGGCCACTGATGTATTCTAATGATGGTAGAAACCTGAGCACCATAAGTACAGCATCTTAAGGTTCTCAGTCATGATCAAAAATGTTAATGCCAGTCACATAATGATATGATTCACTGATGCTGTGTCACATTAAGTCCATAAGGAGTAGACATTTAATGCCACATATTATGACTAGAATTTTATCAGTAGCAGACTACAGAAATGCTTGTAATGGAACAATACATAATTACAAAATGTCTTATAGATGTTTAGGGGTATAACCTTCCCCACATTGTGGTTATTTCAAAAATGCCTCATCATTTCCACTACAGTTTTGCACGTTAAGTTTTAGAAAACCAAGTCTTACATTGAGTACTGAAATTAAATGTGCAACAAACTGAACTCTTCAGATGCACAAATATCTCTATAAGCATTAATTCTATATCCCACAGAGAGTCATTTCAAATCAGGTCATATAATTTTCTCTATACTGAGGAAATCTCGAAACATATTAACATTAATGTGGCATTTATGGTATTTTTTTCAACTATTTATGGTAAGTTACATGTTCAAGATAAACCACAGTACTTTCAGTAGTACTTTACTCTTTTGTGATATTTTCATTCAAACAACGTAGCTAATTTTTCTGCTGTTCTTCAACTTTTATTAGCCCAATATGCATATAATTAAAAATATTTTCTGACTACAATAAAGCACATTCTGTAGAATATCATTTCAGCATTAAAATAAGAATTTGAATTATCTAATAATTTCAGCAAAGTTCATTGCAATCAAATTCTCTAAATGTAACAAACCTGAGGTATTTTTTCTTCAAGCTGTTCTGAATCTGGATGAAAATGATCAAGTTCCACTTCATATGGATGAGAATATCTAATAACCATTAAAAATAAGACTAATTTATGATATAATACTGAAACTAACACTACAAACACGTTTTTTTAAATATGACCAAATACTTTTCTCTACCCTGAGCTTTCTTTCTTGTAATTGAGCATAGAATTAATGGAAGTTTTCATAAAAAATCACAAGAAATAAAAGCTTTTAAACTTTTGCTTTTTAATGCTTATTCCTTAGTTTTATAAGATTCAAACACATATACATATTATTATTTTAGAAAAAAAACACTAGTCCAAGAAAAAATAATACATAACAGGAGCTAATAATAATGGTTTTTTTCTATGGAGCTAATGAAAAATAAAGATTATTTATCTTTTCCACAAAGTGTATATTTCTTAGAGAAAATATGTCTTTATTAAAAGGAGAGAGTTACTGCTGTAGAAAGTCAAAAAGACTTAACTGTTATTATATTTAACATAAGAAACAATTTAAAGATACAGCTGAGCCCTCTTGCTACAGATAAGTCAGAGTGAGCATGTCACATCCTCTCAGAGAGTTACATTCAAATTTTAATTAAATGATAAGTACTATATTTCATGTTTTTCATGTATATCTTTTATTTATTGTTATAAAAGTAACTAAAATGTAAAAATAATAATAATAAAAATTCTTTAGGAGGTATGCTCATGAGCAGCTCCAAAGTTACACTACTCAGTAAGGTAACAAGAGATACACATTCACTGAATAATTAAAAATTTTTGTGGCAGGATTATTAGTTACACATGGTTCAAAGGGCAATACAGCAATGAAATTAAGTACAAACAGATGTATACTGTTAGGAGCCTTAATCTATTTAAGATAAACATATGTAGGTTCCTGTTACAATCTACAGTCACTCTAGAATGAAAAAAGGGTAATTTAGATTTAATTTATGTTTTTTTATGCTTGGACAAGGTCAGTCAAATTCACTGAGCTTGTATAGAATTAAGGTAGAAAAATTAACAGGTAACATAAAAAGTTTTACTGAAAAAAGTTTGATAACAATTTAGGAAGTTTTAGAGGTTACACAAATGAAATTTGAAAATTTTCAGATGAAGAAAAGCATTTTTAAAATTAATATGAAAATTACTTTCCACTCAGAACAGTCAACACTCTGATTCCATATATTCATGGACAAATCTCTAGTAAAAATACTTAATTAAAAATTTTTATTTTTTGAGTACAAAACTTGTAATGTTTACTGAAAGCTTGCCAAATTTTATGAAGATACACAAAACATATTAAAAATTGAAATATGTAAACTCTGATGGTTACTTTATGGGTACAAGGTTGGTCACATTGACCGACCCTGTATGGAAAGTGTTATTTTTAGCCAGAGACCTAAACAGTGATTACATTTTACTTACCAACTGCACTAGTTGGTACTGTATCATACAAACTGCCATCTTCTAGTCTTATACTATTTCACTGAGCTCTCTCAATCAGTATACACTGAAATGGCTCTCAGTATCCCATTCAAGTACTCTGACACAATGGTATCAAACAGAAAATCATCACATATCGCCAATACTGCAGTTTCCAGAAATGTTGTAGGCAGAAGATAACATAAACAGATGCAAAAAATGAAGTAGCAGCAAATACAAGTAATTAAATCTTTATTTTTAAACAAATCACATAATATATTACTGGAGTTTTTCACTAGAGCTTGCAAGTTTCTATATTCAGTACTAAACTCTGACTACATCACCTGGAGAAACTCAAACCTTCACAAAATGAAGAGAAAAGGCAGATGAATGACACCACACTGGTAAGAAAGACACCAAAGTTCTAGTGTGGTATTCCACAATCCTTTGCTTCCCTACATCAATTATAACTTTCATTATACATACATACATACAAACACACCCAAGGTAAATTCCAAACTCATACTATTTTGTTTGAGTACCACCTTTCAAAATAAGTATGACCTCATTCCAGGAATGTATGACAAAGAAACAGGGCCAAGCAAGTATAAATCTTATAAAACAATCTTTGTTACATAACTTCTGTCAAGGCCAGAAAATTAGGTGATTTACAACTTTTTACATCCAGTTTACAAGCATGTCTAACTATACGTAGAACATCCTTAACATTTAAAAATATATACCTAATTAAATATATGTTTGTCTTAGTTGAGGAAGGATGAAAGCAGCAGAAGATATTTTATACAGACAACTTGTATACAGAATATTTTATGGAAGCATTTGTTTTACTGGTTGTGGATGAAACCTATAAATATTGCAGTTAGAGCCATAAACTATTTAGATAAGAGTACTTATCAAAGCAATTTGATGTGGGAACCTGTGGATTTGCTGCTGAATGTACACATAGAACAAGGATTATAAATATCATCTGCAGCAGAAAATGCACAGGATTGTACATGTGTTGGAAGCATGTGTTTTTCCACAGTAAACAATCTTTAAAATAGGCAATAATCATTATTCAAGTAATTGTCAGACATCATAATTTTTGTGAGGATATTCTTACGATGCATTTTCTCTATCATTATCCTGTAAAATCAATTTTTTTATACAACACTAAAGTTCAATATCATATGAGATTATTCAAAATAAAAAGATTAATATGCCAACTGACTTGTACATGTAGTTTATCAATTTGCTTATAATACTTACATTTTAATCTTTCTAAGTAATTAATTACTACCTCACTATCCATTTTGTTTTCCGTAAACTTCTTTTGTTAAATCTCTCCTCTGATGACTTGTAAGTTAATCTTACATTTAAACATATTTATAACCTCATAAAAGGAAGTACTACCTGTTTCACATATCTCCACAACGTTGACAAGGGCTATCTGCGCTAGACATCCCTAATTTTTAACTGATAACTAACTAGAGAGAAGGTAGCTAGTCAATAGTAATTTTTGCCAACTCTTGGGCTACTCTGATCACAGAGTGGGATTTGTTGTCCCTTTTATAATGTTCCTGTGGCTCCATAATATAAAGAATCTCTTCTTTTTTTTTCAATAACAACATGGAATCCATAGACCCTTAGATAAACAATCTGGTGCCCTAACAACTAGGCCATGCTTAGCCAGAAGGATGTAAAAGTATAGACATTAAGTTCAAACGATAATTATTTACCAATAGCAAAAAACACTCAGAAAAGTTTATGTTTAAAAACTTAATATTCATACTGCATTAGACACAGCTTAACATATTTATATGTATAAATCATAAACTAATCAAAAATATACCTACTAAACAGGGAAACATAGAACCAGAAAGAAAATAAGGTTTTTGCCTTTGTAAAACATACACTATGGCTTGTGACAATGTATTGTATGGGTATCATGCACAGATATGGTAAACCATAACAACTGAGATTCATAGCACAATGATAACTAGATGTGATTTTTCTATAAAATAACATAAAATTTAAGTCTGAGATGCACCCACAGTGCTGTATCATAATGCTGATATTTGACTCAATAACAACGTGGACACAGTTTTATTCATATTTATTTCCTGAAAGCCTAAAAATCAAACACTAAATAAATTAAACTTAAGAATAGAATTAAATATCTTTTTACAACAGTGTTTGAGTAGTATTTAATGAATAAATGGAGTAATTAACACCCCAAACAAGTAGGCAATACTAAAAGACCTGTTTAAGAAATCAATTTGTGGATAAATTTATGTACATATGCATGTATTTATTTTCTTGTTTTCATTTGTTTATTTTTTACTACAACAGTACCTATGTGTTTTTGTTAACCCAAAAACACCATAAAAATCCACAAATAACTAATAAAATGCTTCAACCAACAACAATAATGCTCTGCATTCATAATCATTTTGTAAGGTTTATTCATGAAAAAAGCATATAGATTTCTCTAATCTAAGTCTTTCCTGAATCAAGAAACATTTAACAAAAAAAAGAGATTTTTCTTTAAATTCTTATCAATTCTTCACCTGTATTAAGCTGACTACAACAAAAACGTTTTTACTTTATTTTAATTTTACCAGTAAGGGCACACATTATATACAAATGATCGTTGAAAAAACTGGGCTAGAATGCATAAAATTAATTTTAGACTGATAAAAACTGTTTAACCTTATCACCATGGGTATCCTTTGCTGTGCAATGTCCTGAGATTTTAGAGACTTACATTCAAACTTTTATTAAATACAAGGATGACCTGGAGAAGAAGGAGAAACGGAAGGTAGACAAATGTGTTGGTCCAATCCTGGCTGAAAACATCGATAGCCAGAGTATGAAGACAAGGGAACCAGAGACCAAAACCAAAGCAATTTCTGGTTAAGGGACACAGCAAAAGTTTTGATGTGAGAAGTACTCCACTGAAGACACTGAAAAACAAAAGGATCGAGAGACCATTCCAACAGATAGATTTTATCTGAACGGAAATTGGATCTGTGGCAAGATCAAAAGCACCCAGAACATGACATGCAATGATATGAATATCAAGCATGTGAACCCCCAAAAAAAAGATCTGACATAAGAATACAGAGGGATTAACAATGAGTGCTACACAGGTGATTGAGATAAGCAAACACTGGAGGAAAGTTGGAATGGATCATTACTGGACAATTTCTTGCCAGATGGAGAAAATGAACCAAAACACAACTAACAGCAAGAAGCTCCAGGATGTTGAAATGAGAAAACCTCTCGACCACAGACCAAAACCCCGAAGCTTCCTGTTAATCAACCCACACCTCCATCCCCAAAGGGATGCATTCGAGAAATGTATAAATTCAGATGAGGAAGAGGAAGAGGGACACTCGCTAATTTGTGAGTCGTCTAACCACAAAAGCAGATTGTACACAAGGAAGGGTAATAAAAGCCGACAAAAGATCTCTTGCGAGATTCCACTGGTTGTGAAGAGCCCAAAAAAGAGCCTGCATATGAGCCAGACATAAGAGGTTAAGGGCTACCATAGAATATCACATCCCCAAAAGTGATAGAACCTTGCGAACTGTAATAGAACTGAAAGTCCCATTGAACGAAGGTGAA